TTCTTCAAGCCTCCTTCTTCTATCCTTCTTCACTAACAACTCACTTCTCTATCTGCTTTCTCTATCTAGAGTTTCAATATCTACAAAAGTCCCTTTTAAGCAAATGAGGTCTCCTCTATTTATAGATTTCAGAAAATAAGGACTAGATCACAGCCTACTTGATGGAGTTCATGGCCGTAATAACAGGAGTGAGGGCATGATCTCGATGGGGAGTCGCCTTGGGCTATCTCTGATGTGTGTTCATGGGTTGGAGTTCGTGATAGCGATATGGAAGTCGAGACTGTGATCTTTCTCGTGATCACCCTGTTGAAGGACCGTGACAATGATCCTGACACATTCTGTATTCTTTGTTCGTCTCCTCCTAAACATCACGGCCTGGGGATTTGAGATCCGTGTGCAACTTTTGCACGTGGGCTCGAGAATACCTTTCCCCTACTCTCAGCCTCTTCATTCTTCTTCATAAGCATTCAAAACTCACGATGCCACTTAATATCCACAACCTAATGCAAGGAAGCAACATAGCCTGCATCTTGAGTTCAAGCAGAGATGACAGGATGATGACCCCCTTTTTGCCTCGTCGTCGAATCCAACCATTTCAAAATGTTGAATGGGCAATGGATTGAGCATTATTATTACTTGTGTAACCTTTACAATTTTACAAAACTAGCCGATCCGAAACTCATACTTCTCTTCTCCTCCCCTGTTCCTATTGAATAACAATCTCCCATCAACTCATGCAATAAGATTCCCAACCATCACCGACGTTAGTTACTCCTCAACCATAAAAGGGAAAAAATAAATTTTATTATGACCGGGCGGGTCTAGAAAGAAGGGTTGGGTAACGGGTTGGGATGTTTGATGTAGCGGGTTTTAAAGTGTGACGGGTCGTGTCTTATTATTTTCTTTTTTCATGTTAAAATGGGTGACAGGTAATTTCAGTTAGCCATATCACAAACAAATTGATGCCCCTTCACGGAAATTGGCAGAAAATAACTATCATAAACCAAACTTGAACTATTGAACTAATTTCAATGATCCTAAATAGAATAATTTTTCAAGTAGTATGCATAAACCAATGGGTTAATAGCATTTTGTACCCCTCTACTAAATTTTTGCACAAACATACCCTTCCGTCTAATTTTTCGTTAAATGGCTGTTTAAGGAGTTGTGAAATGACCAAATTACCCCTAATCTAATCTTAATTTTGAGTTTAATTATTTTATATCTCTAAAACTGAATTAATTAAACTTTTAAGTTAAGGAGTCCCAACATCTTCTGTCTTCCACCCAACTAGCTGCCTCCTCCGCCGCTTTCCTCTGCTCTAACCCCCGCCGAATCATCTTAGAAATCAATCTTCTCCATCGTCGCTCCCAACCAAATCAAGTCGTGCCCGGAAGACATTGCTAATCCTCCTCTCCCGACGCAAGTTTCGCCTCCTCCAGTTACTGCCGTACGGGTCTATTTCGGGGAACATGTACTGGACCGTGTTCAGATCCGGAGACATAACCTCCGGTGGCGGGTTAGGAGGAGCCAGGAAGCAGCCTCAGCCTCCTCCCTGCTGACATCATCGTCCGCATCAGCGGCGACAAAGTAGCGGTCATTGACTCGCCTGAATCTACACTACAATTAAACCCCAATTAGAGCCCAAGGTTTTAAACTCTAATCGGGTGTAGTATAGGGCAAGTATCTATATATCGACCCGGGCCAGTCCGTCTACCCCTACTTCGGTTGTTGAAATCATTATCTAGTGATAAAACTTTGGTTTAAAGGTTTTCCAATTGAAATGAAAGAAAGCAAGAGTAATTTGGTTTGAAAACTCTTTTGTGGGAAAGTCACTTGGGTTTTGCTTCCCCCTAAACCGCTACTATGCTACGTGGGATGGAACGATTGCCTTGGGCAAGCTAATCATGAACCGCAGAGGAAAGCGTATGTGGTCGGGGACCACAGTCTCGATTGCTAAACCGAGGTGAGGATGAAAGGTCGTGTCACTCGACCCTCTCGGTTTAGACAATCAGTAATCGGCTTACATCCTCACTCAATTCTATGGTCGGACGGTTTAACCACGATTAATCGACTTGCTCAATTCAATATTGAGGATTGCCCTAACTCGACCTAGTTTAGGATTTCCTCTCTAAACTCGGCTAAGTTGGCAAATTAGATTACTAGCACCTAAATGCACAAACTTAAGGGGTGCTAAGCACAATTATGCACAACCCTAGGATGTTAAGCACAAAATATGCTCAACCCCTAAGTTGCTAAGCACAAGCATGCCAAATCATGGTGAAAATACCTCAAACATTAGATTGAACAATGCGCAATATCAATCATTCAAACCACATACAACAAAACTACATGGTAGGGTTTAGGGTTTCACTACACCCAAGTGGGAGGAGGACTACTCCATGGAAGAAGTGGGAAGAACAAAGGAGAAAAAGGTGGAATTCATCTTGTGGGGATGCCTCCTCTCTTCTTCAACCTTGAGCTGGGATTTCCTTGCGGAAATCTTCCCAAAACCTCCTTTGAAGCCAATCCTTAACTCCTTATTCTCTCTTGGTTCTGGTTCTCTCTCTAAAATGCAGAAGAAGTGTTTCTCTCACAAAAAGTGGCTCTCCCTTATCTTTCCTTGCAGCTCAGCTTTTAAACACGAGAAGTGCTGAGTTCACGGCCTGAGTTCACGACCGTGAACTCTCAAACGCGTCCGTGAACTTACTCCTTCCGCCAAAACGCTCCGCATCGATCTCGGCAGTTCACGGGCAACTGCTTGTGTTCACGGCCTTAGTGACCGTGAACTCGCCTTGCGTCAGTAACCTTCAAGTTGGCTCTGGACGCCTTGCGCTTCACGGTCATCTCCACTTCTTCAAGGTCTTGCGACCGTGAACTCCTGCCTTTAGCCGTGAACTTGCCTTTTTTCACCTCTTCTCCCGGTTTTCGATCCTTTTTTCGCCCATCCTTCGACTCCGAGCCTGGTTCCACATGTTAAATCCTGAAAATTACTCAAACACGCAGAACGTCGCGTAAAACCAACCTCTAATGAGCGAATTTGGCACAAACATCTAAGCAAATCGGGGGCAAAATATGTGGAATTATGCCTGAATCAGTCATCGAGGAAGTTGAGCGCTCAGGGCGGTGGTTCTACGGCATCGGCAGAGGAGGACTTGGCTACGGCGGAAGGGGCGCCGGAGGAGACGGTGTCGTAGAAGGGGACAACGAAGACGCGGTTGTGGCGGTGTGTGAGCGGATTGGCGGAGTGGATGTCCCGGTCACAGGTAGAGTAGGAGACGTTTGATTAATTTTTAATTAATTGGGTTTTAATAATATGAAATAAATAAAAACTCAAAATTAGGAGTGTTTAGAGTAAGTGAGGGTAATTGGGTCATTTTTTAGTCCATTAAACGGTCATTAAACAGAAAATTAAACGGAAGGGTATATTCTTTACGTTTTAATATTAGAAGGGTACGTTTCAACGTTTGTGCAAAAATTTAGAAGATGAGTACGCTTGTTAATTTGTAATAGTAGAGGGGTACGAAATTCTATTAATCCTAAACAAATTTAGTAATATTTAGGCAAAAATTTACCAAAATAATCGATAATAATAACTTATTTCCCTTTCTAACCGGTGGAGGAGAGAATTGACGAAAGTAGTCGGTTGGAAGGGTGTTCGCACGTCAGCGCCTACATTTCGGCGTCATCGCTTACTGAAAGGCGTTGTCGCTTTCTTTATCCATGAATCAGTTGGTTGGATGGTCGAACCGCGGTGGTCAAGCTAACCGATTGGTAAGCAATGTCGCCCTTTCCTAGGCGCTTCTTGATATGCAAATTTAATTCCCCCCAACCACACGCACCGACCCTTTCCCCTTCTTTGTTTTCTTATCCCTTCATTCCTCTCAGAATTCGATTGGAACCAGAAGAAGATACATCCGCCAATCTCTCCTTCTTACCGCCGCCGGTCACATCACCGTCGCAACCTCTCCATCCTACTGCCATGGGTCACGCCGCCGTCGCAATCTCTCCTATTACAGCAGGATCGCATCCACCGGACGATATGATTTCACCTACGAAGGGTAGATTTCCTCTGTGTGTTTCCTTCTTGTCGTCGATTTCATGACGTGGATTTTTTTCTTGCCGCCGATCAGTCTGCTTTGCCGAACGTTCAGTCTCGACGGATGGATCTCCCCTGTGCAAGTTGCTGAAAGACCATTTCCCGATCGTTGATTTCGTTGTTGGGAGTTCACTCGCTGACCGCTGCTTTTGTTGTTGGAAGACCAGTCGCCGCTCGCCCTAGGTTTTGAGGTACAAAACTTATTGTTGCCTCTGGAGACTTATTGATTGAATGAGGAAAGGAACTTGAAGGACTCTTCCTTCTCATTTTCTCTACAGACTGCTCTTGCTGGAACTTATTGTTCATTCGTGCAGAGACTAGGCTCAATTGTGGTAAAGGAAAATTTACTTATTTTTTCCCAGAGTTTCAACTTGGTTTCAACTTTGTTATCAGTAGTTCAAACTCAATGTTTTTCAATTATACAGCAAAACGAATCAAAACTTTTTATTGTTGGCACTGCAACTTCGTTGGTAAGTATTTTGCTTATAAATTTGCTTTTTCGGCTATTTTACATCACCTAGACAAATTTTGTAACCTGGCAACTCCTCTATTATTAAGTGGTGAAAACTGTTTGGTGGGAAACAACACAATTTGAGGGTCATTGGTATGGCAAAATCTACTTCAAAATTAGTTAATTGAAACATATTGCAAGAGGACGATTACATCTAAGTGTGTTTTGATTTTTTTTGGGATGGATCCCATGAGTTTTACTCCGCCGCCGGGGGTGAATCCTGAGCCGATTGATAAATCTATACTATGGGGAGAAGGTGAACACTGTGCTCGACGTGTGTGGCTTGATCATGTTGGTTTTTTATTGGTTGTTTAATGCTAGCTTGTTTTTGTTTACGTGTGAAAAAGAGGAAATAGACATCTAAATCGTTGCTTTCATTTCATTATCTTTATGTATGTTCAGAAGCTGGGAAGTTTTCATTTGCGTAGTCAGAAGCCGGTGAAGTATGATCAGAGATATGATCCCTTTTTAAAAAGCATCGGATTTGCTAGTATTCCCGATATTTCCAATATTAGACTTGATGGGGCATTGATCACTGCACTTGTTGAGAGGTGGCGTCCAGAGACATCCACATTCCACCTGTTTACTGGAGAGTGTACCATCACTCTCCAAGATGTGGAGTTACTTCTAGGTTTGAAAATTGAAGGATTGCCTCTAACCACCAAGACAGAAAAAAGTGAGACAGATTGAGCAAAAAAAATATGTGATACATGTTTGGGATGTCATCCTACAGTTCAAACTGACCTTCTAGGTAATAAGCTGAGGATGAGTTGGCTACGACGTGAGTTTGGAACTCTTCCAAATAATGCTGGCGTCCAGGATTTGCAGAGTTTTGCCAATGCTTACATCTTGTCACTCATTGGAGGAGTGTTATTCCCAAATCGTTTTGGGGCGAACGTTAGCTGCAGTTTCTTGTGGATCCTGCGTGATCGGGATAAGGCTACTAGTTACTCATGGGGATCTGCCGTCTTGTCGAACACATATCGTGAGATGGGCAGAATTGTCTTTGGTTATGGATCAACAGGCGGTAGTACACATGGGGACTTGGCTGGTTGTTTCATTCTCCTTCAATTGTGGGCTTGGCAGAGGCTACCAAGCATTGAACCCATTCCCCGAGAGCCCGATGTGCATCACGTCCCTTTTGGATTAAGGTAAATAATTGTAGCTAGCCTAAAATTTTGACATGGATATAAGATGTTATTTATAGGTCATAATGTAACTCACGCTTTAACACATAATGTAGGTGGACAGATCTGGAGAGCAATGAAGAAAGTCTCGAATTAATGGAATATCGAGTATTCTTTGATACCACAAAGGAATTTGAGGTATGCATTAGAAGTTGTTAGAGTTCTAGTTTAAATTTATTGACTAGTTATAACAATGATCTAAATTTTATGTTGGTGTAGTGGGCACCTTATGGATTGGATCAAAGTCAATTGAGCTCTTTGTGGTTTTGTGTCTCTCCGCTTGTATGCTTTCATAGTGTTTCTTGGCATCGTCCTGATCGTACAATGCGGCAATTTGAACTTCAAAAATATATTCCAACTTATTCAGAAACAAGAGATGAAGTAGTTGCATTATTAAAGGAGGATGATCTTGCACAGGAGGATGATTGGGCTTCACACCATTCCACTTATATTGAGTATTGGCAAAGTTGTTTGAGTCATTGCATTAAGGGGTCGCCTGTACCTTCACATCCTCTGCATTACCATTCTGAGTACATGCAATTGTATTGATGAATTACTCGGCGATTCATCACCTACTATGCTGCTGCACATGAGAGTATGGTAAGTATATTTTGAATACAACTATCCACAATAGTGAATATAATATTCGTGATGCATCAATAAAGTATTACTGAAACTTCAACATAGCATTTATGCAGTTTCGAATATAGTATTTTCTAGTGCAAATCTCTTTAATAATATGTTGTTCTTTTGTTGTGATTTAGCTTGACGTTATGGAGGTTGCACGTGAAAGGACAAGGCAAGGACTAGCATTAGGCGACTCAGAGGTCCAACATTTGGATACCCTTCTCAGGACTAGTATGTTGATCGGCGGTGGAGACATACGCGAGATAGGTGATTCGGTGGTAGATGGAGCACCAAGTGAGGAGGCCTATGTTCACTACCCGCAGTACGTGCCCCGTAGACAACGGAAAAGGAGAGAACGTGCACGAGGCCGAGGTCAAGAAAATGAAGATCATGTGTCCAGTCCTATTCAAGTGCCAGACCGACAATTTCCACAGATACCAGTGTCGTTGGAAGTTCCTTTGTCATATCATGGTGGAACTGTTAGTCAAGGTGATGGTGTCACTCCTTGTCCATCTGCTCAATTTGGTACTCCAAGCTATGTTGCACACCACCATACTGGTGCTAGTGGTAGTAGTTTAGGTTTTGCCAGATTTGGTACCACAGTCACAAGCACAGGTTTTGGTGGAGTTAGCTCTCCTACCTCGCAACAGCGTGCTCAACAAGAGGCATTTAGACAGTCATCTGCTGTTAATTTAGATGATGACGAGGTAATGCTTCATAGCCCAGTCTGCCCACGGGGGCGAGGTCACGGGCCAGCGAGAGCTTCAGAGCAAAACGTCGAGGGACACCGTCAGTATGGCTTGCGAAATCGAGCTACTATCCCACCCACTCTTTGTCACACTGGTGGGCGCCATCCACTTCGAGATGGCCATCATACATCTGTGATGTTTGTGTTTCTTGTAATGTTCGCTTACCAAACCCAATATTCAGCTTATTCAAACTAGTATGCTGCTTTATACAAGTAGTATTCAGCATAGAATAAGTAACATTCAACTTGTTATAACGAGTATTCTACTTAGTACAGATAATATTCAACTTGTTCGAACTAGTGTTCTTAGAATTACATCATATTTGTAAGATCTAACATGACGGTTATAACTAAAAACATTTAGAATTGCACCAAGTTTATAACATCCAACATGATTAGTTTAATGACGTGACCCCCTGAAGCTCTAGACGATGATGCTTGGGATTGAGAAGACCTTCGATATGGATATGACTTTTCATTGTGTCTAGCTTGATCACAAACGCTGCACTTGTGAGGAATCCCTCCATCGCGCCAATCCATCTCATTGCGTAGTCTTGATTTTCTTGGTCGACCATGTTTTCGTCTTGTTGTTTGATCTGGAAGAAGGTAAGGTCCGCGATACTCAGGCCAAAACCGCCTATCACCAAGTGGTTCGAATCCATACTTGTAACACTCTCTAAGAGCCGCAATCGAATAGTGAGGATTGATGAAAACTTTAGCCTCCATGCCTAGAAACTGGTAACATGCAATTGCATGGGAACATGGTATAGTTGTCCCTTGAAACTTTCCACAGATGTACCTCCCAGACCTATCATCAACATTGAGGTGAACCACTTGAGAACTTCCTCCTCTGTTTACTGCATTATTCACCCCAGTCACGACTTCAAACCTTGCAGCCATTGAGTCAAATGGTCGCACATGATGATGATTTTCCTTTTTCGATCTTCTGTTGAATTCAGTGGCACAATATTCGGTGAACAAGTTACCAGCTTCATATTCAGACGCGGCATCCATGCGACGATCATTGAAGTACTCAACCACGCGCTAGAAAGTTTGTAAGACAAGTGCCTCAACCGGCATGCCGCAAACTTCTTTCAGAACACCATTCATGCACTCTGAAAGATTGGTTGTCATGATACCCATCTACTCCCTCCATCTTCGTTGTCATGGGCCAAGCTCCAGTGTATCTGATTCTTCGTGACCCACTCAATACTATGCAGACTCAACCTTGCATCAACTGCAACAAATTTCTCAACTAAAGCAGAATACTTGCGTATTTGATTTTGGACACCTACATTAAATTAACTAGTAAATTATCAACTAAAGAGTAAACTTTATACCAATTGAATCAATTAAGTACACCAAATAGTGAACTTACCAATTAGCCAAATCTTTTTCTTCATATCCTTATTTCTGAAGTGGGTATTGTAGTTAGACATATAATGACGCAAGCACCACCTCCATTTCCATCCAAAATTGAGATTCTCCATTGCATTTTGAATGCCTTGATGACGATCAGATATTATACAAAGGCCTTTCCGTTGGGTAACATATCGTTGGAGGCATTCGAAAAACCAAGGCCAACTCCTAGTATTCTTGCTCTCTACCATTGCAAATGCCAAAGGCAATAATTTTCTATTACCATCTTGAGCACATGCCATCAGCAAAACCCCTTTGTACTTACCAGTAAGGAAGGTACCATCAACAGAAATCACAGGCAGACAATGTTTGAAGCCCTCAATACATGGTTGGAAAGCCCAAAACAATTGTTGGAAGATGCGATAATTAGGATGAGCATCACTCGCAATGCGATCCCACTCGTAACAAAATCCAGGATTTCGAGCGGACAACGCAAGCATGAAGTGTTGAAGCTTGGTGTATGACTCCTCCCAGTTTCCGTATACCTTCTCAATTGCTTGTTTCTTCCCATACCATGCTTTCTTATAAGAAGGGTTACGTCGTATCTGTTTGCACATTCAACTATGACAGTTTTGATCCGAATATTAAGTTGTGTGTTGACCAAATGTTTGATGCAGGTAGAAATGAGCTATGAATCCATCTGCTTGTGATCCCGTGATCTACTTCCTGACATGCATGTATGACTTGAGTTTGCCTCTCGCACAACCCATGCTTCACCATCATCTCTATCCGTCACACTAACCTTCCACGGACAACCCATAGACTTGTGTGAAGTACATCTCACGACCAGTTGATGAGGGTTAGATTTGGACACAGGTTTGGAATTGTCTTCTAATGACATGTTCCTTCAGTGTGTTGGATGCTTCAATCTTCGAGTTCAGAGAGACACCAGAATAGAAATCCCTTGTTTCATCCCAATTATAACCTTCGGGCACTTCTGGGCAATGATTTCTTCCAAACATCAAATTTCCGATGCCCTCGGCTAGATTTGTATAATGTGGTGGTGAAATTCAAGCAGAATGTGACATTGACTCGAAGTCGCTGGCATTGCTGTCCGATTCACTGCTAGGTTCATATTTACCCATAGAATCTTCCTCGCTGCTTGGTGGGCAACCAGTCTATGCATTAAGAGACTCTTCGTTATTATTGGTAAAGGATGACGATGACATCGTTGGAACTTATGAACATACGCTATCCTCCTCCAGTAAGTCAGTGAAGCTTTTTGGCCCATATTCGACATACAATTCTGCATGGTCATACCAAGGTGGTAGCAATGAGACCATCTCGTATATGGTCATCAACCACATGTCGTTTGTGATCAGAATTGGAGCGTAATGTGATATTCCATTCTCAGAAATAACAGGACTCCTATAAGTGATGAACTTTATCTCTTGGTCTTCTTCCAAACCCAACATCGACCTCAAATTTTTGCATAGTTGCTTATAACTTACAACTTTCTTGATTCTTAAGTTTTTATATTCGCCACCTTCATAGTCAATCCCTTCGTTGGTCTCTATGATGACACCTCCCCACCATATAGACATAAAAAACTCACGTGCAGCCATTCTAACAAGTAAAAAATACTTAAATTAGTTTAGCCAATGATAAATTTAACATAAAAACTCATTTGTAGTCATTCTACGTTCTCAAAGTTTCCAAGTCTACAGCTTTCTAAGTTCAAATGATTTACTCAGCCAAACCTAACTATG